GAAGCATACAGCTTCTGTGTTCCTGCTCTCCATGACGCCAAGAGGATTTTGCTAACCTCTGGCGAAATGCCATACATGTCGTGCTGACTCCGCAGACATGCCAAGCGGCTAGTTGCATTTTTGTGCCCTCTGGGTGAGGCATCCCTGACTCTGGCTGTGTCAGGAGACTGTTGTGGCGAGGTAGTAACACTGGTTCTTCTACCAGCATCTCCAGCAGGACTGGGTACCAGACTGCTGTGTCCCAGATCGGAGCTACGAGAAGCAGGTGAGCTCTGTCTTCTCGCGCTTTCCTTAGAGTTGGTGCGACTAGCATGAACGGGGGAAAAGCGTATGGCAGATCCCACCTGTTCCAGTTCATTGTGAACGCATCTGTCCCGATTGCCTCTGGCTCTGGATGCCAAGACACATACTGAGGTAACTGGTAGTTTGTTCGGGACGCGAACAGATCCACCCCCTTCATGAGTCGTGGAAATGTCGCTTGCAAGCCCAGGAACGTGTAACGATCCAGGGTCCATTCCGTGGCCAGAGAAAAATGCCGGGTAATCCGCTCGGACATTCTCCTTTCCTGGTACATGTTCTGCTGTAATGTACAAGTCTCTGTTCACGCACCACTCCCATAGATCGAGAGCTATGTCCAGCAATCTCTGAGATCTCGTCCCTCCGAGACGATTCAGATATGCGACTACCGTCACATTGTCCGTGAGGACCTTCACGTGCTTGCTAACTAGCTCCTTGCAGAACGCTCGAACTGTCAGTGACGCTGCACGCAGTTCAGGATGTTTATGTGTGCCTGTCCTTCCTCGACAGACTACCGGCCTCCTGTATGTACGCCGTTGCTGTACCCACCCCAGCCGGCAGTAGAGGCATCCGTCTCCACCACAATGTCTGCTGCGGGTGAGAGGATTGGACGACTGTTGTGTCTGGGTAGGTTAACTGTCCACCATCTTAAGTCTGCTCTTGCTGATTCTGTCAGTGGTACGAGCTGTTCCCAGTGACCTCTTGTCACACGTAGAACTGTGATGAGCAGACGCTGCAAACTTCTGAAGTGCAGCGGCGCCAGCCATACGGACGTGGTTGTGGCTTGTAGCCTGCCAATCACGCTTGCTAACTCTCTTGCCGACATCCCTCTGTCTGCAGTCAGTACGTCCTGTGCTAACTGCTGTAGCTCTAGAACTTTGCTCTCGGGGAGAAAAGTAACCATCTGTGTTGTGTCGATGCCGGAACCGAGGAAGGTTATGCGTTGTGATGGCTCTAGAACAGACTTCTCGAGGTTGGGGACGAATCCCAGCCTTGACAGGAGCTCTATGGCTGCCCAAAGAGCTTCTCGGCATGCTTCTCTGGAGAGGCCGATCACCAAGATGTCGTCCAAGTACACCACTAGACGAAACCCCCGTCTTCGCAGGATAGCCACAGGAACTTTCAACACTTTCGTGAAGACCCTCGGGGCGGTCGCCACGCCGAAGGGCAGGCACTGGAACTGGTAAAACCGGCCCTGCCATTGAAAGGTGAGGAACCGGCGACTGTCCGCATCTACCGGGATGGTAAAGTATGCGTCCTTGAGATCCAACTTTGCCATAAAATCTCCTGGTCGAACCAGGTTCTTGATAACTCCCAGAGTTTCCATCTTGAATTTCTGAACATTTAAGAACTTGTTTAATGGTTTCAGGTTGATAACAGGACGAAGACCTCCTGTCTTTTTTGGCACTGTAAACAAAGTTGAAACAAACTGATTGTGCTGATACTGAACTTCCTTTATTGCCCCTTTGGCAAGTAGAGTCTCTACCTCTCCGCTCAGAACTTCTATCTGAGCTGGACTTCTTGCTCGACAAGATGGCAGATGTCGTTGCACCGGAGGCGTTCTCGCAAATTCCAACCTGTACCCCCTGACGCACTGAAGAACCCAAGGATCGGAAGTCAACTGCCTCCACTCCTGCATGAAGTGGGCTAGCCTGCCTCCGTGAAGTAGCTGAGTAGTGTTGGGTACATGTTGAAATTCGGTCAAACGCCGGCGTGCTTCTCCCTCTGAAGCCGTGTCTGTTACTTGGACTGCTTCTGCTTCCCGTCCCCCGACTTAGACTGAAAGGACTGGTTGCGGTTGTAGAACTGTCGGGTTTGTGAACCCCTGTAACTGTACTGGCCATAATTGGCCCGTGGCATGTAGCGGGAGTTTCTGTAGCTGTAGCTGAACCCTCCGCCAGTTGCTCTGCCGCCGCCGCGACGAGCACCACGCCTCTGCACTGAAGACTTCCCCTGGTCGTCCTGGCTGAGCATGCCAACCAGCACTTTTGTTTCTGACGACAAGTCCTTAGCCTTTGACCCCATGTCAGGCGGAAACAGGAACTTTGGATCTTCAGATGCTGTCTTGAAAAGGTCTCTAAACTTCTTCTGGGATGACTCTGCTATGAACGTGCGTCGGGTGAACGCCAACTGAGAATGTAGCGACCCCAGCAACACAAGTGCTGAACCAGCACAGTCACTCATCTCTAGCTGCAACTCTTCAAAGTTCTCACTATTACAACGCTGAATCATCTGCCACAGATTCATCAAAGGTGTACCAATATGCACCAAGTTCGAATGGATGTTCTTTAGAGCCTTATCATGAGAAATGATCTGCTCACCCTGCTTCTTGTCATTGTCGACGACAGCCCTGGCTATGTTGTCGTTGAAACTCGGTGCAACCATCGTGGATGGAGCGTTGTCGGGCATGCTGAACTTCTGCTGCCACGCCTCTAAGTCTGTACCCCGGCGCTGCTGGTCATGCTTGAAGTACTTTTCTACTTCAGAAAAGACAACATCGTCGGCTACCCATGAGTGCATGGTGTCCTTGTTCGTCGGGTCGAACGGCTTCCACACCGAGTCGCTAGCGCCGGAGTCACCGCTGACGCTCTCTCCTTCCGCCCCGTCGTGAGACGGGGAGCGCTGCTTGCCGCTGCGGGCGCTAGCGCTATCTTCCTTCCGGCGCTTCTCAGGAACTGCCGCCGCCGGATGCTCGCCGGAGTCACCGCTGACGCTCTCTCCTTCCGCCCCGTCGTGAGACGGGGAGCGCTGCTTGCCGCTGCGGGCGCTAGCGCTATCTTCCTTCCGGCGCTTCTCAGGAACTGCTGTCTCTGGACGAGCGCTGCGTCGTTTCCTCGGTGAAGATTGCTCAAATTGAGCCAACATCAGCTCCTGGAACGCCTCTAGCCTCTGAGACATGGACGCAAAACTCTGCTCCAAGGCAGAGATGCGGACGTTTGTTGGCGAAAACTCCGTTTCGCTATCATGCGTCTTCTTGCTTCCGTCGCCGCCACCACTGCTTATGTCTCCGTCAGACGGCAAGTTGCCGTCTTGCTGAACCGTGGGCGGCTGCTTCTGCTCGCCGTCGCCTTCCTGCTGGCTTCCGTCAGCGCTGAGAACCGGCATAGCCGGAGAAGACGACTTCTGACGACTGTCATGGCGGTCGTTTTCGCGCACATGGTGCGCCGACCCGCCCGGGCTTGTCCCGCCTTCCTCGCGCTCCCTGCCGCTGGAACGCCGCCGGGAACCGCCACGGTCGCGCTTGGAACTCTCCTCGGTCGCCTTAGGACCCGAAGGCGCCCTCGAACGATGTCTATCGCGTTGCTTTTCACGCCTAGACCCCATGATACCAACGCAAAACACGTAGGTGTTTACAGGTTGCTCAAAAAAATTAGACTGGTGCGCATGCGCAGGGAGGGTGACCCTTCAACTTTGGGCGATACCAACTAGAGTCTACACGGGGGTGGACAGGCTCAATCACCTGAAGTATTCTGTCTGCCTGACATAAGAGGGAATGCGGTAGACAACCACGGCTTCACTAGGTATCGCGCAAATTTTACAAGTCTTTTATTACTTCGCATGTAAATTGTAAAAGTATTTGACCTAAATATTTTGGTCTTACGTTTGCTTTAATACATAATTCATTGATCCCACGTTATATGTACGAGAATTTTGGTATATAGGGTTGGTTATTACTCTGTGCACGAAATGCAGTCTCTACGCACGCCCTTTACACTTCATGTCAGGCTTTAGCGTGTGTTTAAAGATAGAGCTCCGTGCAATGACAGTCAGGGTAAGGAAGTCATACCCAAGACATGCGAATCCAAATCAGAAGAAGATACACATAAAGTGTTGTGATTTCATTTCTATACAGATTATATTTATTATTCATGTTTGTTCTATACATATTGCAGCGGTCCAATGTCCGAATCTGCTAGCCCCAACTAACGGAGCGGTGAGTCCTACTGGGACGATATACTACCCAAGCAGTGTCACCTTCACCTGTAACACGGGATACGTACTGAACGGTGCTGATACTGCGACCTGCCAAGCTGACGGAACATGGAGTGATCCTGTTCCAATATGCCCACGTAAGACCTCTTGCAAGTTGATATATTCTACAAATGTAACAATGTTTATATAATTGTAATGTGTAGATATTCACAAATGGAATAATTCTGTATTCAAAACATGATAGGCATGTATTGGGCATGTATTAAGAAGACGCTGTTTTGTGAATCTTCAGTTCAGACATAAATACTCGTACTAAAATCTTATCTACCATTTCAGCCAGACTATGTACATCAATGAAGGCCCCAACTAATGGAGCCCTAAGACCTTTCGCACCACACGTCTACCTAAGCGTGGTCACCTTCACCTGTAACCAGGGATACGTACTGAGAGGAGCTGGTGCTGCGACGTGCCAAGCTGACGGAACATGGAGTAGTCTTGTTCCAACATGCACAAGTAAGATGTCTTAAAAATTGTTACATGTTACAAATGTCAATACAATTACAAATGCAAATACAAAATGTGTCAAAGATGATTGACGTGACTTGAAGCATACAGGAATTTAATCGGTAGAGTAAATTGATTATCATTTTGGTTTAGTTTATTAAAATCACAATTATGTACAAATACAGCGCCATCACTTGGCAGCGTCTAAGGCTGAATTGTGTGATTGAAAGCATCAGAAGGTGGAGTAAAATCCTAATCGTCATTCGGTGTATTAAAAACAGTCATTAAATCATATCATTAAAATCATACATTTCACAGACTATTAATCATTTAAAATGTGAACACGGTACGGTAATGTACTTCTGTTATTAAAGCAGAGAGAGTGCTAAAGGGTAACTGCATGGGCTTTCCATTCAATACATAATACACATAGACAGGCTGTTCAACGTTTAAACTTTGGCAAACAGGTCTACTTATGGTGGTAAACACCTGATATGGTCAACCCCTGATACACTTAGTATATAGGACTTTAAGAGTCGAGTTTTTGTTCTTTCCGTTGTAGTGGTCCAATGTCGGGCTCGGACGGCCCCAACTAACGGAGCGGTGAGTCCTACCGGAGCGGTCTCATACCCTAACGAGGTCACCTTCACCTGTCACCCGGGATACGTACTGAACGGCGCTGCTGCTGCGACGTGCCAAGCTGACGGAACATGGAGTAACCCTGTTCCAACATGCACACGTAAGACGACTTCCAAGATGTGTGGCGTCGGGTGGCGTAGTGTGTGGCGTCGGGTGGCGTAGTGGTAGATCATTCGACTGTGAACCGGGAGACCCGGGTTCGAACCCGAGTCGTACCCGGTACATGTCTGGACATGCGCCCGACGTTGTGCCCTTGGGAAAGGCACTTTACACGACTTTCCTCACTCCACCCAGGTGTGAATGGGTACCTAACTTCGGTTGGGGAAAGTCGTATTGAGGTCACCTTGTGGCGCCGAATGGCAGCCGCGACAGTTCCACAAAAAATTGTCGAGCAAACATATGTGTTATCATGTGTATTACTTGTTTGTTGTGATTTGTATTGATTATGTATATTGATTATTATGTGATACCCTGCATCAATTCAGCCGTTAAAGGCTGCAACTGCACGGGTACTGTTTGGACAATAAAAACCATTATTATTATAAGATGGAATCTGCTAAATAAAACAATGCCTATCCAATTTTAGTATACAAACATTCACCAGGTAGTAATCGTTGAGGGCCCCGAATGACAGAGCTCTCAGTTGTCCCAGAATAAACGTCTACCCAAACGTGGTCAGGTTTGCTTCAACTAGAAAAAATGTAAATTTTACACGCCTACTTTTTAGTGTTCAAAGCATGAGATGGATTGCCCAATTGAATATTTCAACTTCATATTGGTAACCAGAGGTCTGCTTAAGCTTGTCAAGGTCCATTTAGTCAGTAAAGAGCCTGTTTTGCACCTTAAAAAAGATCAAATTTTAACTCGTTCCCTACTCAGCGAAAGTGACACACACTAGGACTTTTGTTTTATCTATTTGATAAAGATTATTTCGTTTTCTTCTTGTCGTTGAAGGCATTCAGTGTCTGACATTGACGGCCCCGACTAACGGAGCGGTAACTCCTACCGGTGCGGTCTACTACTCAAACGGGGTCACCTTCACCTGTAACCCGGGATACGTACTGAACGGCGCTGCTGCTGCGACGTGCCAAGCTGACGGGACATGGAGTAACCAAGTTCCAACATGCACACGTAAGAAGAATTACACGTTGATATGTTATGCTAATGTTTTATTGTTTGCAGTATACAGCCTTTGCCAAATAGTAAAAAAAAGAGTACATGAAGGTAACTATGTGAACTTCCTATATTTACAACATGGTAGACTGAGATATATCTTTACTACAAAAATAAATCTCTGTAATTATAAGTATCTTGTCATTTCAGGCAGACAATGTCCAAAGTTGACGGCCCCAACTAACGGTGCGCTCAGTACCACAGAAATCTCCTACCTGACCGTAGTCAGGTTTACCTGTAATCCAAGGTACCAACTAAATGGCTTTGTTGACACTATGTGCCAAGCTGACGGGACATGGACAAATCCAGTTCCAACATGCACAAGTGAGATGACTTAATAATTACAAGTTTATATAATTACGTTAATGGTTTAGCAAGGTACATTGATTTGTAGTATACACTTACCACTCAATCACCAGATTGAAAAAAAAAGAATATTAGAAGGTAACTGCGTGAGAAATTCAGTACGTAGAATACGATATGCATATTGTAGGTTAGTGTCATGAAATAAAGATTTATAATGCAAACATAACATTATGTATTACACTCTGCAGAAGGCACAAATAAAGTGTTGTAATTTTCTTAATAGCTATCGCTTAAAAAAGGGTGATTTCTTTATGTAATTTTCATGGCAGCGGTACAATGTCCGGCTCGGACGGCCCCAAATAACGGAGCGGTGAGTCCTACCGGAGCTGTCTCATACCCAGACGTGGTCACCTTTACCTGTAACACGGGATACGTACTGAACGGCGCCACTGCTGCGAGGTGCCAAGCTGACAGAACATGGAGCAATCCTGTTCCAACATGCACACGTAAGACGACATTCTTGTTCATAAAAAAGAGCAATTCATCGGTTAATATAAACGTACTAGATAGTAACTGCGTGTGCATTCGGAATTTAAAACATAATAGATTGAAATTTATTGAAGACGTCTTTTTTTAGCATTTTAGTGCAGACGACTAGAAATAGATCGCTGTAACAGGTTTTTAACCATTGCATTACAGTCGTACATTGTCCAAAGCTGGAAGCCCCAGCTCACGGTGCGATCAGTACCACAGCGACATCCTACCTGACTGTGGTCACCTTTACCTGTAACACGGGATACGTACTGTACGGTTTTGCGGATACTACGTGTCAAGCTAAGGAAATCTGGTCTAACCCAGTTCCAACATGTACACGTAAGATTAGTTGCTTCTTGTATTGAATTGTAGGTATTAAAGAGTAGCTGCGTTTTACTTTCAGCGATCAAAATATCATAGACAGGTGCATAACAAAATGCATTTTTTTTACATTTCCAAAACAGAAAAAGATATCATAATGAAATTAGCTAACAGAGCTCGAAGTCCTATCGGACCTCAGGTACACGCCTGCCAAAAGGTCATTAAGATTTACTTGTTTTTAGGGAAAATGTATTTTTACACGCCTTCACCATTACCATAGAGCTATTGTGTGTAGGATTTGTATTTAGTACATTATGGGCCTGTTGGTGGGTTTCCATCATGAAAGATCTATTCATTTGTAGACATCCATAACCAACTTAGCAGCAGAAGGCACGCATAAGAAATTGCGATCTAATTAGTATTTAGATATTTAAGAGGAATTATTAATTTTTGTTCTTTCCATTGCAGCGATCCAGTGCCCAACTCTGATAGCCCCAACTTACGGGGCGGTGAGTCCTACCGGAGCGGTCTCCTACCCAAACGGGGTCACCTTCACCTGTAACTCGGGATTCGAACTTAACGGCACTACTGCTGCAACGTGCCAAGCTGACGGAACCTGGGATAATCCTGTTCCAACATGCACACGTAAGACAAATTCTACGTTGTAATATGCTAAATGCAACCAATATCGATCTTTTAGAACAAATGTTTTTCGGTACTGGTTAAAAAATATCAAACCGTGCAGAATAATTGAGATAATCTTTTCTGTCACGTCATCAAAATAATGTTATGTGCAACATTTATTTTGTAGAAAAACAGTCTTATACACAAAGTTTAACTTTCTAATCAGCATTGTCATAGTTTTAACACTGTCTAATATATGTATATATATATATATGTAACTTTAAGATACCTTCATCACAGCTGAATTAGCTTTGATAGTAAGTGTGTCTAGAATTATGTCTTGTGAATGAAGTTACAGTCTGTAACAGTATGTACAGACTGAATCTCAGTAAAATTGTGTAGGTATTGGCAAGCAATGTCTAAGACTACCAGGCCGAGCTTTGCAAGTCAGTACTGTAATTACGTACTTT